GGTTGTGAGGCACTGGAACATGTTGCCCAGAGGAGTTGTAGATGCCCCATCCCTGGAAGTGTTCAAGGCCAGGTTGGATGAGGCTTCGGTCAACTTGATCTAGTGGGAGGAGTCCCTGCCCATGACAGGGGGATTGGAACTAGATGATCTTTAAGGTCCCTTCCAACTCAAACCATTCTATGATTCCTGTGCAAATCTGATTTTTTTCTTTTGCAACAGCCTGGGATGCTGCTGCAGTTTACTGTCGTCTGTGTTCTCTCTTTCCTGGCTGTAACTTTTGCCCGTGCTTTTATACTGCGGGTCCAAGTGCTCTCTTGCTGGAGTTTGAGAAGCAGGTCGTGTTTGTGGCCTGTGAGGGTATTAGGAGAATTTTGGATGAATATTCTGATCATCTTTCTGGACTGAACATTTATTTCAGGGTTCTCTCCAACTTGTGGTTTTGAGGGTTAGGAGGGAACATAACTCTCTGCTGCTTACAGTTGCTGAGGGAATTCATGATTGAAGAAAAAAACAAAACCACAAAACCCTAAAAAAGTAGTAGTTGGGAAGTTACAAAAAAACAGAACAAAATTCCACTTTTTGAAAAGCTCAGCTCCTGAGGCACACAGTTCCTTGGTGTAAGCTAATCAGTAAGGACTTTTCCACTCACCTTCAGCAGGTAGAACGTTAACATCTTAAGAGTAATATGAGAGCCTAACTGCTGCTCGTGTAGATGCAATATATACATGTATGCATTTCAAATAGGTACTTGAGACAAAAAAAGATGATGATGTGATAGCATTAAAAATAAAAAGGGAATTAACTTACAGAAGTTCTCTGGAGTAACTAAGCCTTATATCAGCTCCAAGAAAAGTAGTGAGGAAAACCAAATCAGGTAGACAAATATAGTAATGAAGCATTTATTGCTGATAAATGGAATGTCAAATTCCACTTACTCAGTCTGAACAGAATATATGGATACCTTTAGCCTGCTTAAATGCTTCAAGAGTCAGAATTATTCAGGTGAATACTAAAACTTGAGTGTAGCACACTAGGTTGTATGGGTGACCTGTTACTCTGTGAGTGAAGGACTGTGCCTTGTCTTGCATAGGCTGCAATCCAAGCCCTGCATTCAGAGACGTGATTCGGTTAGCATCGCGTTCCAGGTTGCATGCATGAGCCGAGTTGTCATCAAACGTGAAAATCTGAGATGTTTTTCGTGTGCTGCAAACCAGACTAAGATTCATGGCTCGCTGTTTGCTGCAGGCCAAATCCCTGCACCCATGCTGTTGTCATGGTTCAGCTGGTGTGTGGTAGGCAGAACGCTTCACCTGAGTTCTGGGTAGGATGAGATGGCTGTGTAGGCAAAGGAATCTGGCTGCTGGAGAAGTGGGAATAGGAGATGATGTAGACGAGGTGGTAGGTTTGCAGAAGAGGCTTTGCTCGCACAGTGTTAGCTTCTCTTTATCAGTAACGCTTTCAGTATGTGATTTGTTTGGAAGGATAGAACACAAAGATGTGGCATAAGAAGGAATTTGGAGTTGGTTGAAGGAGATACAGGAGCAGGTAGTCTGGTTTCTGTAGAGGCTACTGGAGGCCTTGGAGCAGCACTGCTTTGTTGTATGAACTGTATCTTAGAATTATAGACTGCGGTAAGGAGAGAGGGAGAAAGCAGAGGAACATCATTCTTATTTCTAGCCTTCCAAAAGGAGTCTATGAGAAAGTGTTTGGCTGCTACTTCTCCCTCTTTGCTCACAGCAGAGAAGTTAACTGCTGTGGAGTGGGAAGTCTGTCTCTGTGTAAAATGAAGTTGAAAAGATGGGGAAGGGTTCCTTGGAAATTTAAAAAACATATGTTGACACATACTTTCTTTAGAAGCTCAAAGATATGTGGTGGACACTTGTGCAACATTTCTGTATGGTGTGTAACTTCCTTGAAAAAAGGAAGGCGACAGCATTGAGTGGGAGGTATCTTCACTAGAGCCGTGAAGCTGAGAAGTAAAAGTGTCTGATCCTTGGTTTTAGACAGGAGCAGATGATGGTTGTCCTAAAAGGATAACCTTTTCCCTGCCTTGCTCCTGGGAGCCCTGAGTGTCCTTGGGCAGGAACTCTTCAACTTCTTACTGCCCAACCTTTCTTTCACCAGCTGGCAAGAAGGGAGTGTGCTGGAGAGGGCTGTGCTCCCCCATGCCAAGCAGAAGCTCTGGAGGGAAAATGTATTTTCTTTCATCTCTGCTTTCCTCCAGTGTCATTTCTGGGCCTGAAGATGAAATGATCTTACCCTTGCAACTCCAGCCTAGCTCTTGTGACTCACTGAAGGACAGCAAAAGCATGGAGAGTTTACATGCATCAACACTCAGGATGTTGACACCTAGGAAGTCATTAGTGGTTGGCTGAGCGGTGATGGTTGTCCTTGCTCGTGTTCTTAGTCCCCAGCAAATGGCTGCTTTCCTCCCAGAAGAGGGTCGTGTTATCTTGCTCTTGTCACCAGCCACTGTGGCTTGGCTTGTGCATGCTGATGTTAAGCCACCACAGCTTGGTCGTGTCCGTGAGCCGAAATTACCGAGAAGTAGAATTTCACAGTTGGTAGAGCAAGGAGTTTTTCTCCATGTGAGGAATACTATAGGTCTGTAGGCAGCGAGAGATGACGTCTTGGAGAAAACACCCTAAAAATTGTCTTTGTGAAACAAAAGTCTCTGACAAGACTCCCAAGCTTCATCAGATGAAAACAGCATTTCACCTTGCCCAGCATCCTGCCTTGTCATGATCTCCAAATGGAAGTGTTGGTGCTCCTGGGTTCTTCTATTTTCTGGAAATTGTTGATTGAAATGCGTGGAAAGAGATGCTCATACTGGAGCAGCGGGAGCAAGTGAGATGTTTAAATCTGTCTGAACAGGATAGAAGACAAAGAAGGGCAGGTGAGTTGTGTTGAAAAGATGTGGGAGTGACAGCTGAGCCATCATTACCGTTTACTTTTCCAGTTCCTGTGCCTGGAAAAGGCCACGATGTAAGTGTAGACAAGAAGTAGAAGCTGTAACAGCATGAGAAGAGTACTTTCATGGGTAAATCGCGAACAAATTGGATAGTCCATGAGAAGTAAGGCATGGAGGAGACCTGTGTGTGCAGTTGTCTATCCAAGCACTCATAAGTGTGTTTCCCATTGCTTGCTTTCAGTCGCCTGTCTGAGAAAGTCCTTTTTTTTTTCCATGGTGTGGCACTAGGCAGAAGAGCAGGACATTTAGCCTGCTGGCAAGTATTGTTCTTTGCCAATGAGAAACAATCTTCTTAATGATTGGCCTGGCTGACCTCCAGGATGCTTTCATATGGAAAGGAGATGGGATGCAGAGCAAGATATGCTGTAGTTACGGTTCTGCTTTGAGAGGTTCTTGGAGAAGGACTTTTTGCAAGGACATGTAGGGATAAGACAGGGGGCAATGGCTTTAAACTGAAAGAGGGGAGATTTAGATTAGATATAAGGAAGAAATTTTTCACTCTGAGGGTGGTGAGGCACTGGAACAGGTTGCCCAGAGAAGCTGTGACTGCCCCATCCCTGGAAGTGTTCAAGGCCAGGTTGGATGAGGCTTTGAGCAACCTGGTGTAGTGGAGGGTGTCCCTGCCCATGGCAGGGGGGTTGTAACTAGATGGTCTTTAAGGTCGCTTCCAACCTGAACCATTCTATGATTCTATGATATAGAGATGGTGGTGGATTCATGACTTGGTGACATTTAGGCTTAAAAAAAAAAAAAAAATCCAAACCAGAACAAACCCAGAATAGTAGCTGTCACTTAGGAGCTTGAGGCTTGAGGAGTAGTCTTAAATCTTTCTTTCACCAGGCACAGTTACTGTTTAAATGGAAGTTTTCCATGGTGCATGTTGTGAATCTTGCCTTAATATGAGACCTCACTTTTATCTTAATCATGCCCTTCCTTCAACTTAGTAGTAAAAATTAACCAGCTACCATGGAGCGGAACGAAGTCTTTGATGCAAACGTAACTTGAACTCAGTGTTGACATTTCTTTGTCCATGTCTACATACATGTCTGCCATGGCAGTAGTCTTGTGGGTTTTTGGTGTGTGGTTTTTTTTTTTCTAAAGCTGTTCAGACCCACTTGGAAGTAGGAGGTGATTGCTGAAGCTAAAGCAGGGACACAGAGATACTAATAGTTTACAATATCCCTTCCCTACAGCAAGATTTGGTCTCATCTGTTAGATCCGTAGATTTTTTTATTTCTTTTTGCACATGTAGCTGTTTTTAATAAAAACTAAAGAAAATCTCATCCCTCCTCTTCTTTTGTTGCTGTTTGTTTATTTATATTGAATGTCTGGGCCTTTTTTAGCAGAATACAATTGAACCAAAACTGATAGCAGTTAAGATTTCTGGACAGCTCCTGTTTCTTGGTGCAGCTCTGTGAGATCTCGGAGGTTGGGATGCGATTTCACATACACTGGCTGTGAAACAGACTTGCTAAAGTGACATTTCCAGAGGAGATCCCTTATATCTCCATGATTTCAGAGCAGATGTTTTGAACTGAGTAGCAATTTTGTGTCAGAAGTATGATTTCTGCTAACTCTGTGAATATTCATACTGGAAAAATTGCAGTTTATCAGCAGGAGCTTCAGTCTGAGTGTTCTGTAATGAGATGCTGAGATGGTGACAACAATTCTTCATTTTATCTTTTTCACAAGACCATGGGCAGGAGGCCTAATTCAAGTCAACAGAGGGAAAGTACTGAGGGTAGAGGAGCTTAGGATAAGGAAAAAGATCAAGACAATGATTCTACCTGGGACCAGAACATGGTAACTGGATCCCTTTGTGGTGCCTGTCACATGCTGGTGCAGACAGATTGGCTTTGGGTAATTCTTAACTGACACATGCCTTACTTTGCAACATTGTGATGTGTTTCTAACCTAAATTTGAATGCATCTGACAGTGCATACTGCATTAGTCACGCAATAGTTTATAAAACAATTGTTAAAGTAACTTTTTCTTTTTTCTTCCCCTGTAGCACACATCCACTGTGAGAATGTGTTTGTATTGTGGGAGAAAATTTTACTTTTCCAGTAAAACTAGACCGAAAAATAGTAGAAATGATTTGGAAGAAAACAAGGATGAAGTGGCCAAATGGGAAGGGCAAGCCGAAACGTATTTTCCTTCTCTCAGTAATAGAGGCTTGCTTCATGAGAATGGGAGCTTGACTATATTTAACTTGGAGAATAATGATGCTGACATATATATGTTAGAATACTTCGATTATACAGAAAAAAACAAAACCTTCATACTGACTGTGTTAGGTAAGTAGTGGAAGAACTGCATGAAGAATTTGCACCACTTTATTCCCTTTAAGAAGGCTAGAAAGGGGATTGTTTGTTTGTTGGGAAAGCAAACAGAAACAGAGAGGGTCTGTTCTTTGGCTCTGTTCTTAAGTTGCTTAGGTACTTTAAACAAATTTTTAAAGGTGATATCTTCATTTGTCATTACTCACCTTGAAATGACTTCTAGAACGTGTGTAGATGGCACACTGTGTACTTTCAGGTAAATAACCAAGTTATCTGAGGCATTATGTATAGAATCATAGAATCATACAATGGTTTGGGTTGGAAGGGACCTCAAAGATCATCTAGTTCCAAACCCCCTGCCATGGTCAGGGACACCCTCCACTACACCAGGTTGCCCAAAGCCCCATCCAACCTGGCCTTGAACACTTCCAGGGATGGGGCAGCCACAGCTTCTCTGGGCAACCTGTTCCAGTGCCTCACCGCCCTCAGAGTGAAACATTTCTTCCTTATATCCAATCTAAATCTGCCCTTTTTCAGTTTAAATCCATTTCCTCTTGTCCTGTCACTACAGGCCCTTGTAAAAAGCCCCTCTCCAGCTTTCCTGTAGGCTCCCTTTATGTACTGGAAGGCTGCAATAAGATCACCCTGGAGCCTTCTCCAGGCTGAACAGCCCCAACTCTCTCAGCCTGTATCTACTAAAGATGCTCCTGTATTATACATGCTTGAATATGTGTGGCATCATCCTGTGTAGATCTGTGCAGCTTCACTTGTAGTCTGTGAGAAATGTCTTTGACCAGTGTGTCCTATTGACAATGAAGCATGAGGAGTCTCAAACTAGGCACTGAAGAACCACAAGCAGGGCCACTTTTAGAAATAATTTCTCTCCCATGCACATGCGTGTGCATGTACGCGCACACCTTGTCTATGCACTCTCCTGCTGCTTGTGTTGCTCCATCCCTCATCCCATGCTAAAATTCAAGGCGGTTTATAACCAAAGTAATACTGAATGTTTTCTCTCCTTTTAGATCCCCCTTCCAAACCTGAAATAAGTTGCAACATCAGTGGCGATGACCTTGTGTTAAAGCGTACGGCAGATTTCCCGCAGCCTCTGAATTACACTTGGAAGTTCAGTAGCATACAAATCACACATCACACCCAGGAAGTTCCCATCCCGAAGAATATTGATGCTTCTGGGAAAGCTACATGTTTCATTAAATTTTCTCAAACGGAAAAGAGCTCTGCAATCTCTTTGCCTCAATGCCCTGCATATAAAAAACTTAATGAATGGCTCAGGCTGTATATGCGAGGCTGAGAGGCAGCATGGACTTTGACTGTAAGATTTCTGCTGACTTCTCAGGAACCTGAATTGAGACAGTGAAAAGCATCAGAAGTGATTTATGTGCTAAAAGTGTGTTTAAGATTGGCGAAAGGTAGGAGGTTCACAGTTTGATTCCCCGGAAAGATACATTTTGCAGGGATCTCAACAGAATAAAACTTTCAGATGTGACTTGAAATGAGTAATAACAGAGGGAGACACGCTTAGAAGACCTCTTCTGAACCTTCAGGCCTTGTGTAATTAATGCTAATGACTGTTGTGCTCTTTGTACTGCTTTTCATGAACTGGAATGAAACTATCCAGTCACTTCAAGTGAGTCATCTGGCAGCCATTAGATAAAATAAGTTTTCATCTAGCGTGTGCATGAGTCAATACTTCCTTTCCTCCTTCACAGGCAGAATTAAAAAGGAGAAAGGAGTTTTTCTACTGTTGCTTATTGCTTTGGGACAGCCTCAGCTGAGCTTCCGTTCAGCTTGAGCCTTACTTTTTTTTTTTTTTTTTTTTAAACCTAGAATGAGAACATATTTGGAGCCATCTAGTTTGTAGGGTGTGTAAGGCAGTTCCTAACTGAAAAAATTTCCCACTTCTGTGCAAAAGTAATTTTCATGGTTTACTAGTATAGAGTTCTTCCTCCTTCACTGGAATTATGTATGAGAGACTTGGTAGAAATGAGGCATGTGGTGGGTTGACCGTGGCTGGCTGCCGGCTGCCCGTGAAGCTGCTCTATCACTCTTCCTCCTCCTCCTCCTTAACAGGACCGAGGGGAGAAAATACAACAAAAGCCTCGTGGGTGGAGATGAGGACAGGGAGATCATTTGGCAGTTACTATCATGGGCAAAACAGACTCAACTTGGGGAAAATTAATGTATTGCCAATCAAAATCAGAGTAGAATAATTAGAAACAAAACCAAATCTAAAACACCTTCTCCCTACCTCTCCCTTCTGCCAGGACTCAACTTCACTCCCAATTTCTCTACCTTCTCCCCCTGAGCAGGGCAGGAGGATAGGGAATGGAGGTTGTGGTCAGCTAATTATGTGTCATCTCTGCTGCTGCTTCCTCCTCGCACTCTTCTCCTGCTCCAGCAAGGGGTCCCACCCATGGAAGACAGTCCTCCATTAACTTCTGCAGCACGAGTCCTTCCCAGAGGCTGCAGTTCTTCACAAGCTGCTCCAGCATGGGTCCCTTCCATGAAGTACAGTCCTCCAGGAACAGAGTGCTCTAGAGTGGTCCTCCATGGGGTCACAAGTCCTGCTAGCAAACCTTCTCTAGCGTAGACTCCTCTTCCACGGGTCTCCTTTGGGCATCCACCTGCTGCAGCATGGGGTCCTCCATGGGCTGCAGGTGAATCTGCTCCACTGTGGACCTCCATGGGCTGTGGGTGGATCTCTGCTCCACCGTGGACCTCCATGTGCTGTGAGTGGATCTCTGCTCCACCGTGGACCTCCATGGGCTGCAGGAGGACAGCCTGCCTTTGCTATGGCCTTCACCATGAGCTGCAGGGGAATCTCAGCTCTGGCACCTGGAGCACCTCCCTCTCCCTCCTTCTTCACTGACCTTGCTGTCTGCAGAGTTGTTTCTCTCACATGTTCTCACTCCTCACTCCCAGCTGCTGTTGCACAGCAGTTTTTACCTTTTCTTAAATATGTTATCACAGAGGCACCACCACCATCACTGATTGGCTCAGCTTCGGCCAGTGCTGGATCCGTCTTGGAGCCGGCTGGCATGGGCTTTGCCCAAGATGGGGGCAACTTCTGGCACCTTCTCACAGAAGCCACCCCTGCACCCTCCTCACTACCAAAACCTTGCCATGCAAACCCAGTACAAGATATTTGCTGACATTTCATTTGGCTGAGGTCTGGCTCGGCCTTTCATACCCCAAAAAATGGAATAGCCATCGCCTTTCAAGCGGTGATGTGCCTTCGCTGAACTAAGTTACTTCCCATGTAACTTTGCTGGAGCTGGCTTAGGGTTTTGCTAAGAACTGACTCTGGTGAGTTAATTTCTGAAGGTAACTTTTTAAAAAACAAATAGGTATAAAACATGCTGAGGGTTGTATTTCTACTGAAGGAGTGTATCGCACAGTTGCTTTTTAACTAACCAATCATTATTTATTTTATTTTTTTTTAAGGAGACGGCTATCACAGAAGGAACAGAGACGGTCTTATTGCAGCTTTTGTTCTCTTTATTCTATTTGTAGGAATACTAGTACTAGTATTCCTATTCAGAAGAGGTATGTATGGCATTTCCTAATAGACCTTCCCATGCTTCAAGATTTTGCTGACCTAAGGTTCTGTAAAAAGCGTGAAAGTTTCTGACTCGAATGTCTTGTAAATGCAGTAGTAGAAACAAGTTCAACTTAGGCGAAGGCTGATAGACTTAAAGGAAATAATATACTGAACTTTCTTGCACTCAGGCACTGGGCTCTGTGTACTGGGAAACACTGTCGTTCCTATTTGTGTGTTTCTCCTTCAGACTGGGTGTTTCATTTACTGTGTGTTTCTGCTGACTAAGTATCTATGGCCCCTCGCATTCCTACCTGAGTGTGCTTTCACTGCCTTTTTGGAGACCGTTATAAAGCTGCCCTCAGGATTAGATTTATTGTTGGGACAGGCTCGTACCAGGACCTATTGAATGCCTTCTGCTGAGTCTACTCTGGCTACTCAATGTGCTCAGCTGATACATAGGGACTTCTGTGCCTCCTGTCAGCCTGTGTTGCCATCATCTTGGAGTTCTAGATTTGTTTCTTGATCCATCTCTACGCTGAATTTGAGTATCTTTTTTGTAAGTCTGACAGCTTATTTGGAAATTATAATTGTAGGCTATGACTGTGTATCTCTTGCTACCACCTTCTTAGGTTAATATGTCAGACTGTATTCTGGCTTGAAAAAAGGTGCAAACCATCTCTTCTCTTTGTGTTTGAGAGTTCCAAACAGGAATAAATTGCTCCATCCTAAGTGTACTCTGCATGGAAAGTTCCTGCTGGCTTCCAGGTGGGGTCACCACTTGGGGGCAGTTGCAGGGTGAAGAGCATGGGATGCATCTCCTATCTGGGAAGGGCTATTTTATGATATTCTGGAGGAAGGCTCTAATCAGAGCATATACAGATGTATATTGCATGTGGACCTTATGCTTTCCCGATCATTCTCCATTTATTTTCTGTTGACATGGAATCATAAAATAAACCAGATGGGAAGGAATCTCTAGAGGTTTCACCCAACTTGCTGCTCAAAGTAGGACCAACTTCAGAGCTAGATCAGGTTGCTCAGGGCTTTTCCCAGTCAAACTTTGAATAATTCCAGGGATGGAAATTCCCCAGCCTCTGTCAGCATGTGTTCAAGTGCTCAATCACCCTTGTGGGGAAGGATATTTTCCTTGTTTCTATTAGAGTTTTCCCTTCTGCAGCTTGCAGCTGTTGCCTCCTGTCTTCTTGTTCTGTACTTCTGAGAGGCGTTTCCTTTGTTTTCTGTGTAAGTTACCTGTAGACTGCAATTATGCATCCCCTTAGCCTTCTTTTTCTTCAGGCTGAACAAACCCAATTCTCTCAGGGCCTCCTTGCACAACTCCTGCCTCCTAAACGTCTTGGTGGGCATTTGCTGGAATAGCTTCAGAACATCAGTGTTTTTTCATGAATTGGGAGCCTAAAACTAGACACACTACTCCACATGTGGTGTCACAAATACTGAATAGAGAGGAAGAATTATTTTTGTCAATGAGCTGACTACAGTTCTGCTAACACAGCCCACTATCTGTTAGACTTATACTGCAAGGGCACATCTCTGACTAATGTTCAACTTGTCGTCCACCCGGGCTTCCAAGTCCTCTTCTGCAGAGCTATTTTCTAGCCAGGCAGAGCTCAGCCTGTACTGCTCTGTGGGGTGATTTCGAGAGGTGTGGGACTTCACGTTTGCTTTGAACATCATGTCTTTTCTGCTAGCACATTCTTCCAGGTTGTTGAAGTCCCTCTGAGTGGCAGCTCTGCCCTTCAGCATATCCCCTACTCTCCCTAGTTCAATGTCATCTGCGAACTTTCTGAGGGTACCTTCTGTGCCCTTGTCCATGTTGGTGGTGTTGAACAACACTATGCTTGGTATCAACATGTAGAATCACAAAATCATAGAATGGTTCGGGTGGGAAGGGACCTCAAAGATCATCTAGTTCCAACCCCCCTGCCATGGACAGGGACACCTTCTACTAGATCAGGTTACTCAGAGGCTCATCCAACTTGGCCTTGAACAATTCCAGGGATGGGGCATCCGCAAGTTCTCTGGGCAAGAAGGATGAAGAATGTTACTCGTAACTGGCCATCAATTAGACTCGACACAATTCGACTCCTTCTCTTGAAGGTTTGACCATGCTAGGAAATAAACTTGTTACACCTCAGTAGGATAAGCACTGCATGGGTACAATAAAACAGAAGATGCGATTTGCTGATTTAGGAACAAGACTCAGAGTCATGAACTGCTAAAGTCTGTTTTAGATTTGTTGTTGCAAGAGGCCCATTTTGTTGGTCTCTCACTGATTGTCTTTGCCTCAAAACAATATTTCACTGTTTTTCTTTCCCAAAGTCAAGTATTCAGTTGCATGTGCTCAGTGATTTTTTTTTTTATTTGGATTGAGGGGGTGGGGGAACAGATAGAGGCTGTCAGCTAGTTTTCAAAGGCACAAAACTTAATTTCTGAGTAGTTTCTTCAGGTATTCTATTTGTTTTGGTGCAGGTAGAACTAAGTGTGGAACAGGAACTACTCAGAGGAACAGTCCAGTGCATGACTCAGGTAAGAGAGCTGGTGTCACAAACGTGTGGAAATCAGACTATTGCTTTAATTCGATCCAGCCTTGTAAATTTTTTTCTCTGTGGCAGTATAATGCCTTATTGGAGATGTAAAGGATTAAGTTTTTTTTTCAGGCCTTAGTTGTTTTGCAGAGTGTAGTTATTTTTTTCCAGATCATTAATACATACTTTCTAAAATAAATAAATTTAATTATAGGACAACATCAGCTACTTTGCTCTGTGGACAGCCAAGAACAGCCTAACTCAGACAGAGGTAAGACAGCTGTATTGATGTATAGATGTTTTTAAAGATTTGCTGTTGGTTGGAGCAAGGAGCCTGGTCTGCTCTTTCCTTTTTTGCAGTGTCTAAGCTTTCGAGTTGATTTTCAGTGTGTGCACACACGGCTTCGAAGTCTCAGTTGAGGTCCAATATTGGATAATCGTAGGAACCTGCACTTAGTGGATGTTAGTGAGGCTGGCAGAATTACTGGCCTGAGATTTGCCTGGTCAGCTGCGCTCTTTGGAGGTGAATTCTGCTTCTGACAATGGAGAATGGGAGCTGGCCTCAGGATGAGGGCTGGAAAAGCACACACTATTGGGCAATCTATCTGTTGGAGAACTTACTCTTTAGCTGTTTGGTTTACATGAGGTTATTTCTTCCATCTCTTTTAATCTTATCTGCCTGTGCCATTTATATAAACTTCTTTCAGGGGGGTTGGAACTAAATGATCTTTGAGGTCCCTTCCAACCCAGACCATTCTATGATTCTTTCAGAAATTTGGTTGATTATTCTCCTAAACCTGTTATTCATACCAAGTGCTCAGGGCTGGGCATGAATGTAATACATTGCTTATTCCCAGTATCCTTCATGGCAATTTCTTGCTGGCCTGTCTTGGAAACTGGGCAGCTAGCCTTTTTCTCTGTGCATTGAATATGACTTGGAAAGTTGGTTCCAGTGGGTGGGGGTCGATGCTGTGCATGAAGCAGTAGATTTAATGACCATTGAAGGTGTCACATCAGACTGGCAGGAGTTTGCTGTTAGTTTACCTTGGTCATATCTTGAAAATGCACCCAAGGCTGGTGAAGACAGGCATGTTGCTAGTCTGGTATGCAGAACGCTGGTCCTTGCTTTTGGTGCATGGCTCTGGTGCATGCTTACATCTTGTGGGTCAAGTCACAATTGTTTCCTTTTCTTTTTCCAACTCCTTTCAGATGTTTCGGGAAAAGATCTGTGAGCAGCCCTTTTTGATTCATTCTTACTCCATTTTGCAGGCCTGTCTTCTCCTTGTAACAGCCAAGATGAGGGTAGGAGACAGTCAGTGGAGGAACTTCTCACCGCTTTCCATTAGTTACTAGTCTGCTGCCAATCCATGATTTCTTTCCGTGATGCCCTTCTGCAGGCAGTACGGATTCTCAGGGTTGCCTGCATTCCTGTCTTCCTGTCCACATCTCCACTTGTGCTTCTGCTGTCCATTCTAATCCTGCTCCTTTTTCTTATTTTTATTTTTTTACATTCATTTGCAGCAAGATCTCTCTGTAAGGTCAGCAGCTAGGGAAAGGAACAGCTCCTGTAGTCTGAGCTCTTTTCACAAGGGAATGAGGCTAACGTGTTTCAGCTTTAACACGTGTACATCTTGTTGCCAGGACCACTGATTAGGGAGAGCAGGAGAAGACCTTTAAAAAATACTTTGTTGCGGAGGTCACCAGACCAAATTCTGTTTCAGCCAAAGCTGCTGCCTGCGAATACAAGCTCACTGCCCTGTTGGAGTGGTGTGATGTTAACAGTGGCTTCATGGGGGATACTCGATCTGGTATCTTAGACGAGCTACTGGACTTAGCACAAGGCTGGAGCGGGATGTTTCTTGGATTGCAAAATGTTGTGTCACCTTTGAAGAGTTTTTCTGTAGGTTTAATTTCTTAAGTTGTTCTTTAATTTCTAAAGTTTCCTAATGCTTTCATGGGTTTGGACGTTCAAAAAATGTGGTGAGGTCCTTGGTGATGGGCCTCAAAAAGATGCCACAGGTAGGGAGGCACAGTTTCATGGAATCAGGGTGTTGTGGTATTTGGGTTTTTTGTTGTTGTTGTTGGGTTTGTTTGGGGTTTTACCCTCTCTTTCTCCCCCTGCGCCAGTGTATCAAAGTCTTAGGAGCTTTTTAGCAGGATTTTTGGATAAAGGACTTCATTTTTCTTCTAATGTTTTCATACATTTGTTAAAGCTATGGTTCTAACTGATAGTTCAGAGATCACTGAAGTCTAGAGATCACTAATGGTTTTGCAGGTGAAAAAAGGAGAAGGATGGGGGGAAAAAAACCCACACAAAACAACAGCAGCAAAAAAAGCCAAACTCTTTTGCTACTGCACTTAAATTTTCTTTATAATCGCCCGTGTTTCTATTAGAGATTCTTTAAGGTCTGCAAATAGAAAGAGTATAAAGTCACAGTGTTAGTACAACACATAGGTGAAGTAAAGGAAGGAGATGTGGATTCTCTTCTCAGATGTCTGTCTTCTTATGGCAAATCTGTGCAGCTTTATCACCTTGAGTAAACTCACTTCAGGAAAATTTTGTAAAGCTGTAGGCATAACTAGAGATAATGCTGGTTATGGTCTGGGACCTAAGGTAGTTGCTGGAGGGAAGTTGAAATTAATTGTGAGGCCTTCAATAAAGTGGCATAACATACTAGTTCCCAGGGGTATCTTCTGAAAGTGTTATAATGAAATTGTCTCTTTAAGGCTGAGTTGCATATTTTGCAGACTCCATACACATTTCTAAAAAGGATTTCTTTTTGCTTGCAGCAACATCTTCACAAGCAGTTCATCATGAGAATGAAAAGCCTGAAACAGGTAACAAGTGAGATGGTGCCTTAAAACAGGGGGATATGAAAGGCAGAATTAGTTTTGCACTTGGCCTTTTGCAGTCCCAAACATATTAGCATGTTCTCAGTGTAGAGATTACCATTCCCCTGTTGGCCTGGAAAGACCGGTTTCCTTAGGAACAGTAAGTGTTGATGGCTGGATCACTAGATGAGAAGTCAAAAAGACCTGGATTCTTGTGTTTGTTAAACAGTACTGAGCAAATGCTGTCTTGGGCCTT